GTGTGTGTGTGTGTGTGTGTGTGTGTGTAGATAGAATTTCTGTAGATGCCCAATGGATGTGAATGACATGTTTGGGAGAAAAATTGGCCAAGTGATTTAAATACATAACTTAAATACGGAACTTGAGGTGGAACGGTAGACAGTAAGGCTAAGAAAGATTAAAGTAAAAATGTGCAGGACCTCAAATGCCAAGACATGATCTGCAGAGTGAACTGGATGAAAATTATTTCAGATAGCCTGGACATGAAGTAATGATAAGGTACTGGACTAAGTGGATGGCAGAAATGGAACAAACATATCTGAGACTCATTAAGAAGGACGAATCCACAAGACCTGGTAGCTCATGGACCACGTGTGATAGAGGACAGGAAATGTCAAGGAGGACTCTAAAGTTTCAATGTTAAAACGGTAAAACACAGGAGGCAGATCTAAGTTTAGAAAGGATTAGGAAGGAAGGAAGACTAGCATGTTATCAGATGAGGTGATCTGGGATGAGAGGATGTAAATAAAGGCAAGGAATAGTGTGCAGAGAGGAAGCAGTGGTCCAGGCCTCAATCAAGGGGAGTATCCATTTTAAGGAGGGGTTACAAAAAGAGGATGAGCCTTTAAATGCTCATCCTATTAAGAATGAATCATTCTCCCCTCTCACATGGCTTTTTTATTTCTACTTTTTATAATTTATTTAAGAAGTACGCCTCAGTTTTTCCCCCCAGGTTTATTGAGATGAAATTTACACATAACATTGTGTACACTGATTTGATACATTTATATACCACAAAATGATTACCACCCTAGCCTAGCATTAGCTAGCACCTCCATTTCATCACATAGTTATCATTTCTCTTTTTCATACGACTTTTTTAAGTAACACACATACACATCTCTGCTACAGCTTATATCATGTTGTGTTCTATTTGTTGACATAATTTTCTCCTCTACTAGAATGTAAGATCCTTAAGGGCAGGGAACATGTTTTAGTTATGTTTTTATCCCCAGTGTCTGGCAGGCAGAGTATACAATATAGAAAATCAAAAGCAGAGCTAGAAAGACACTTGACCTTCCAAGGAGCAACAAGACAAGGAGCTGACTTTTCAACAGAAACAATCAAAGCCTGAAGAGAATGGGGTAACGTGTTAGAGTGCAAAAAGATCTGCCAACTGAGAATTCTATATTCAAAGAATACATCCTTCAGAAATGAAGGCAAAATACAGACATTTTCAGATGCAAAAAAATTTGAGAGAACTCATTATCAGCACAGAAATACTAAAGAGAGTTCTTCTGGCAGAAGGAAAATCCCAGATATGAAGGAAGGAATGAAGAACACTATAAATGGTAAAATATGTTATTAAATACAAATGAATACTAATTGTACAAAAGAGTAATAATAATGCCATGTGGGTCGTAAAATATACATGGAACTAAAATGCATGAGAACAATAATGCAAAAGATGGGAGAGTGTAAATGAAATTAAAGTGTTCTTAGGTCCTACTATTATCAGGGAAATGGTAAAATAGTCATTTGTATTAGACTGACAAATCAAGCATGTATATTGTAACATGTAGGATAACCACGAAAAAGAAAGTAAAGGAATGTTATAACTAATTAATGGAGAATCAAAGTGGAATAATAAAAACATCTGATTAATCCAAAAAAAAAAGACAAGAAGAGAAAAACATAAAACAAAGAAATGGGTCAAACAAAAAGCAAAAAGATGCAGCTATAACCCACATATATCAATAATTACATTAATTGTAATTGGACTACATATGCCAATCAAAAAGATTATCAGACTGCCTTTTTTAAAAAATATATGCCGCTAAAAAGAGACACGCTTTAAATATCAGTACACAGAAAGGCTAAAAAATAAAAAGAATGGGAAAAGATATGCCATGCCAACACTAACTAAAAAGATAAGGTCGCTGAACTCATCAAGTTCAATATCTCATTTGGATGGTACAAATTGATGTAAAATTCAAGATGAGGGAATAGACTCTTGAAAAATAAAATTATGTCATTAAGATTGGAAATGTATTGTAGTAGGGGTTGATGCCCAGGGCGAATATGCTCTCTTTCTAATCAGAGAAGGTTCCAGTGCCTAAGAGGAGTGGGCAAATAAGTTCAGGATAGGCTGGTGAGAGCAGCCCAGAAATAGATGACAAACAAGCATAAATAAAGGCCACAAAGCACTGACAGATGTCCCTGAAAGCCACAGGTAGCTGAAGGGCCCGAGCAAGACTGCTTTGGTCACAACCACACAAGAAATAAGATATTCCCACTTGGGTAGGTCGGCCCCTACACCTTTTCCATCTTGGAATTTAAGTACTAAAACCCGGTTCCTTTTGCTCATGTCTTGGTGTAGATCCCTCGGGCCAAATCTGGCCATGTCCATTCATTTATGTATCGTAGCTGCTTTTGTGGTACAAAGGAATGGCAGAGCTGAGTAACTGCAACAGAGACTGCATAGCCCACAAACCTAAAACTATTTGCCATCTGGCCCTTTTCAGGAAGTTTGCACCCCTGACATGGCTCTCCACAGGTAACAGGCAGGTAACACTCATTTCCTATTGTAGGGGATATATTCATTTATACAACATGTGTTTATTGAGTACATACTGTATGGGAGGCACTGTATGATGGCCTAAGTATACAGTGATAAACAGGATGCAGCAGTCACATGCAGGAAGAGAGACAGGTAAACAACTCCAAGACAACATAAAGCACTGTAATAGAAGTGCTCAAGGAGCTGGGAGGCACAGAGCTGGCTATCTAACCTAGCCTACAGGGCAGGGCAGGCTCCTTAAAGGAGGCATGCGGCATCTGGCCTGAATTGCAAGGGGTACGGAGCTGCCCAGCAGAGAAGCGGGAAGCAGTCCATGTGTAACACCCAGCAGGTACAAGGAGTGAAAGAGCACAGCCTAATCTGGACACTGACATAATTTGCCATGGTTAGAACTTGGATCCATGTAAAGAAATGTTAAGGAAAGATACAGAAATGAGATCAAAACGGGCCCTGAATGCTTTTTTTTTCCAGATTTTTTTTATTGGGGTATTGGGGGGAAGGGAACAGTGCTGGGGAATTGGGGGAAGGGGAACAGACAAGTTGCTGTCGTTTTGTTCTTCAGTCTAGTTGTGGAGGACNATATGTATGATATTGGGGGGGGAAGTGGGGTGGCGGATTGGGGGAGGGGGTTGTCACTTCGAGGGGTAAAAAGTATAACTATTGCACTGTGTTGTACAACTGAAACTAATTCTAAAAAATGTGTATTTCATAATAAAAAATAATTAAAAGAAAAAAAAAGAACAATACATTATTATACTACAGCTCCTGGTGTAAATTTAACTTGCTATAGCTGAGGGATGGAGGCCAGACCATAGGAAACAGATGTCTCATGTGATCCTTCTTAGGTTGTATTTAACATGGAATATTGCACTCAGTTCTCAGTATTGTATTTTTTTTTGAGAGGCAGCCTCAAAAGAATCTTTCCAAATGACAGAGATCAAGATAGTAAAAAGCCTAGAAATTAAATATTAGGAAAACTGGGGAAGGGAGAGGGAAGAGGGCAATGGGGAGGGGAGGAAGGAAGAAGAGACTCCCCATAGAGTTTGTCATCATAGGATTTGCCCCTGGGGTCTTTTTGCATTTAAGAGCATAAGAGCACCAAGGTTAGAAATTTCGAATTCTTCCAATAAAAGCCACTCAAAGGGGCAAATGGACAACAATTCTGATTAACCAAGCAACTGGATGTAAGGGGTAAATAGGAAAACTGGGAAAGGGTCACTAGGAAGAAAACCTGTGAAATCTCCTAAAACGAGCTAAGGGAACAAATAGAGGAGCCTGGCCTGGAAGCCCCAGAGCACAGAAAAGCTTCTTATTAACCAATAAGGATATCTCCGCCTCTGTTGAGGCCGCAGACAGCTGCTCTGGAGAAATTTCCACTCGATCCTTCCTCTTATCAGAACGCCGCAAGATGATGACAGAATGAATGTGAACAATTCTGACGGTGTCAACCTAAAAGAAAAGCCACAAAAATGTTTACTTCTGTCTCTCTCCAATACCATCACTCCCTGCAATCACAGAATTGCACTGTATTGCATTATGAGGTTAAAGATTCCATTTTAGAAAACTGAAGGTTTTCTCATGAATAATAGGATGTTTCAAATAAAAGACAGCCAACCTCAACATGTAAATTTCAAAACAAAAATGCACAGGCTTATATTTAGATCAAGGAAGGAATTTCTGAACGATCAACTAATAATCATTTGATTCAAAACTATGTGCAAGACAATGTCACACACACACACACACACACAAAATACAAATCAGATATCACTGCACACCTGTTAGAATGGCTATCATCAACAAGACAAATAATAACAAGCACTGGACAGGCTGTGGAGAAAAAGGAACCCTCATACACTGTTGGTGGGGATGTAGATTGGTGCAGCCGCTATGGAAGGCAGTGTGGAGGTTCCTCAAAAAATTAAGAGTAGAATTACCATATGACCCAGCAATCCCTCTCCTGGTTATGTACCCAAAAAATCCGAAAAAATTTAACTATAAAGATATACGTGCTCCGATGTCCATTGCAGCTTTATTCACGATGACCAAGACATGGAAGCAACCAAAGTGTCCTTCAATAGATGATTGGATAAAGAAGATGTGTTATATATACACAATGGAATACTACTTTGCCATAAGAAAAGATGAAATACTGCCATTTGCAACAACATGGATGGATCTTGAGATTATTGTGCTAACTGAAATAAGTCAGACAGAAAAAGTCAAGAACCATATGACTTCACTGCTATGTGGGATATAAAACTGAAAGCAACAAAGGAACAAGACAAAGAAAGAAGGAAACAAAAACTCATAGATACAGAGAACAGTTTAGTGGTTTCCAGAGGGTAAGGGGGCAGGGGGTGGTAGATGAGGGTAAAGGGGGTCAAGTATATGGTGATGGAAGGAGAACTGACTCTGGGTGGTGAACAAATAATGCAATAAATAGATGATGTATTATAGAATTGCACACTTGCAACCTATGTAGTTTTGTTGACCATTGTCACCGCAATAAATTTTAATAATAAAAAAAGAATACAAGTCAAGGTGCTGACAATCCACATGTCCTAAATCCTAAGTTTGGTTGAGCACCAAGTATCACACATAAAGCTACACTAAAATATTGTAGTAAATTAATGCTACAGGAGCTCAGAGGAAAGGAGTCACTTATATTAGAAAGAATAGAAAAGGTAAACGAGAGCTGACAATTAAGTTCACAAATTTGTCACCATGCGCTTACATTGGCAGCACTGCACAAACAGCTCGGTAAGGTTTCCTAACCTTGGTATATCAGTGTCTCACAGATGTGTTTGTGTCAACGTGTGGCAATATCTTGCTGAGTGGCGTTCATTATTGTTGTTGCATGTTTTTGTGTGCTGTCGCGAGAATGTCTGACCTTAAGTTAGAGCAATGAATGAACATTAAATTTTTTGTTAAATTCAGCAAGAGTGAAAGTAAAATCGGGGACATGTTAATCCAAGTTTATGGGGATAATGCCACGAAGAAAACGGCAGTGTACAAATGGATTAAATGGTTTTCTGAGGGGAGAGAACACATCACTGATGAAGAGAGGTCAGGGCAGCCAGTAATGAGCAGAACTGATGAAAACAATGCAAAAATTCATCAAATTGTGCGTCAAAATTGTTGGCTAACTGTCAGATGCATAGCAGACCAAGTAAACATCCATAGAGAAACAGGAAAATCTTAACTGAAAATCTTGGCATGAGAAAGGTGCAAAAATCATCCCAAAGGAACTCTTGCATCACGACAGTGCACCAGCTCACACAGCACTGTCTGTGAGGGAGTTTTTAGCCAGTAAACAAATTACTGTATTGGAACACCCTCCCTACTCACCTGATCTGGCCCCCAATGACTTCTTTCTTTACCCAGAGATAAAGGGAATATTGAAAGGAAGAGATTTTGATGATATTCAGGACATCAAGGGTAATACGACGACAGCTCTGATGGCCATTCCAG